AGAGAGATAAAATTGCAGTGAAGCAGGCTTGGCAGCTTCCTGGAGGCCCAGCCTGAATGAACATCAGTGGCAAAAATTTATAGGAATACTGGGCATGACCACACAGGTGAACAGCATTACTTAGGCTTATGTATATAGCTCAGGGGTAGAGCATTTGACTGCCTGTCAAGAGGTTCCCAGTTCCAATCCAGGTGCCCCCTGCTGTCTTTTACTTTTGCTCATTAGAGCTAATGTTGAAGATTCAGCTCCTTTCTCTGATACTCAGTCTCCCCAGATCTGGGGGGGGAAAAGTCAGGGGTAATGCAAAACCCAGTCACTGAGCACCACAGTCCCAGAGTGATAGGTTCCTCCAACTCTGACTTTTTATTTCACTCACCACAGGTCTTGTTTTAGATAGGCTGGTTTAGGTTCACTTCTTCTGCATGTTTTCATTGCCCCAAATCAGTGGTGTGCTGGGAAATGTTTAACAACTGGCTTTTTGAGGAGGAGCATCACTGATTTTTAGTGTTTCTTGATTTCGTAGTGTAAATAATCTCACCATGGCCAATGTCAAGCTACAAAAATAAGATTGCTGAACATGGAGGTGGGAAGATATGCTCACAATTGACTCTCTAGTGCAAGCCAGCTCAAGCACACCACTGTCTCTAATCCAGCTTCCCTGTAGAGACTTCCACTCTATTCTAATGCTTAGTGACATCACAGTGGCTATGCCCATCTATTCATCCATGAAATCATCCATTCAATCAAGACATATTTGATTCCTACTCAATGCCAGATACAGGAAAGACAGAGCTGAGAAAGAACTGGCTTGTGGTGAGCAAAACAGTCAAACGAAGAAACGGTCAAGTTGTTGATAAGGATACCTAGACAACAGAAGAGGGTGCCAGTTTAAAATGAAGGGATTTCTGTTACCAGCAATACGCTAGACTAGGTCATCAAAAACTCATCCTATCTCAAAACGTCCAGAAATGCGAGATAAAATATAACAAATATCCATTCATAGGTATAGCTGAGCTCTCATAACAGTAAATGACATCTCAGGGGTGGGGGTAGAGGATGAACTAAAACACTGGGATGTCAATTTGAACTGATCCTGAGAATCCCTGTGATGGTTATAGTGAAATAGCCTAGGTGTTGAGTCTTAATAGCCAGGTGAGTCCAGGAGATTAAGTCTTAGACCTGCAATTCCCTTTCCCCATACAAACTCAGACTCTTGGAGAGTCATACCATTAGTACAAAAAGAAAAGAAAAAAGTGGGCTACAAAAACACCAGCACAAGAAGACAAGAGGTCTTTCTCTTCTCAGGAAGAAGGGGGCATCTCCCCTGAGAATGCATAACCACAGATGTATCCTCACACATGGTAAGACTTTGAATTTAAAATCCTGGCATGGTTCAGAAACTCCCTAAGCTGAAAGTTAACATACACAGTGTGCCCATGCTAACAATGATTCTAGAGTTAGAAGAAGCAAACACAGACTCTGAAGGGTGTGCCAGCAAGTCAGGCCACACAGAATTCCCACTGATGAAACCTGGCTTAAGATGGGTTCACAATTCAAAATAACAAAATGTACAAGGAATCAGTCTACCATGAATGAAAACCATCAGAAAAAATAAAGAATAGCAGATAGCAGAATTATCAGATAAATACTAAAAAGTATGTTTACAATTATTAAAGACATAATGAATTGCATATATGAGAATATATAATTTTTTTAAATGAAGCAGATTTATCTAAAATGAAAAACACAATAACTGAAGTTAATAGCATAACAGCATATTAGTGTTTTTAAAAAATACAAACCATAAGAGAATGGATAAGAGAGGTAGAGAATAGAATGAAGGGTTCTGAAAAATGTCACATATGAACTCTACAAAGAGAAAATATAAAGGAAGAGAGGCAATGTTAAATGATAAAATGGCTGAAAATTTTCAACTTGTACAAAGACACAATACCTCGATTTAGGAGTCATGAGTTCTAAGAAAGGTAAGTAAAAATAAATCCACGCCTAGGCACATTGTAGTGAAACTTCATAATATCATAAACAAAGAGATGATCTTAAAAGCAGCCAGACAGAAAAGACAAATCATGTGCAAAGGAATAATTAGACTGACAGCAGACTTTTCAACAGAAGCAATGAAAGTCGGAAGACAATGGAATAAAATATTAAAAGTGTGAAAGATAATGTAATTTAAAATTCACTATTCAGCTCAAGTATCACTCTTAAGTGAGCAAAAAATAAGATACTTTCATATAACTGAAAGCATTTACTTTTAACGTATCCTTGATGAAAGAACTTTTAAAAATCATACTTTAGAAAGAAAAACACTGAACCCAGAAGGAAGGAGAAACGAGAAAAAATAGTGAACAGAGATACTACAGTCATGTGCCACTTGACGACGGGGATATGTTCTGAGGAATGCTCCATTGGGTGATTTCATCATTGTACGAACATCGCAGAATGCACTTACACAAACCTAGATGGTAGCCTACTACACACCTAGGCTATGTGGTATAGCCTATTGCACCTAGGATACAAGCCTGCACATCATATTACTGTACAAAACAACACGAGATTAAGTCAAACACAAGAGAAACCGATGCAATCAAGAGAAAGGTCAAACACAAGATTTATGAGGCTGCTGCTGGCAGAACAGAGCATACTCTTTACAGCAAACTTTCTTTTTTAATAAGTAGACAGAGTATACTCTAAAATAATGATAATAGATATAGTATAGTAAATATATAAACCAGTAATGCAGTTATTTATTATCAAGTATTATGCACTGTACATAATTGGATGTGCTACACTTTTATATGACTGGCAGCGCAGTAGGCTTGTTTACACCAGCATCACTACAAACATGTGAGTAATGCACTGCGAGGTTACAATGGCTACAACGTCACTAGGCAACAGGAATTTTTCAAATCCATTATAATCTTATGGGACCACTGTCATACATGTGTCCATTGCTGATCAAAAAGTCTTTATACAGCATATAACTGTAATAAGCCTATAAATCTAAACAGCATAGGTTTTATATATGTATATGTATATGTATATGTATATATGTATATATGTATGTACATATATGGTGGAGGTCTTAAAAACAAGATTTAGTTAAAAAATTACACATAAGACAAAAGGGGAATTATATGATTATAAACTAATTTACTTAAGCTCTTCTATTATTTAGAAGGAGGGTGGAAATAGTAATTAATGTTACACTATATTAAACCAATTGTATGTGTAAAATTTTAAATAGTAACCCCTAAAAGCATAGAAAAGGAAGGCAAAGTTTTCAAATCAGTAGAAATAAAAAGGTGAATAAAGGAACATTAATCAATCCAATAGAACGGAGAAAAAGGCATAAAAAAGAATCAGAATCAATAGAAATGACAAAGCAAGATGGTAGAAATGAATAAAAAAATACATTATTATATATAATATAAAATATAGTCACAATAAATGCAAATGAACTATTTGCCAATTAAGATAGAAACTGTCATATTAAACAGCAACGAAATCTAGCTACATGCTCTTATAAAACACACATCTGAAACAAATATACAGAAAGTTTGAAAGTAAAAAGATGGAAAAAGATGTATCAAACAAAAACTAATGAAAATAAATTTAATGTAGCTATATCAATATCAGACAAAATGGATTATAGATTAAGAGTATTATTACAGTAATGAGAATTACTTCATAAAAATAAAGTGAAAACTTCCCCAGGAAAATATAATTCTAAACTCATATATCCAGTCTCAAAATATATGAAGCAAAAATTGTCAGAAATATATAGAGAAATCTGACTAATGCACACTTAATGGATTTTAATACATCTTTCTCAGTAACTGATAGATCAAAAACGCAAAATATATAGAACACATATATAATAAAAGCAATGCTTCATTCAGTTGATCTAACTAGATCCCTACAACCAACATTAAAATATACATACTCTTTTGAAACAAACAGGGAACATTTTCAAACATTTATTGCATAGTTGGCCACAAAGCAAGTCTCAGAAAATCCTAAAAAAAATCAACATCACATACTGCATTCTCCTACTATAAGGCAAAACTCAATAACAAAAAGATAAAAAAGACCCATACATTTGAAAGCTAAAAAGTCTTTTTAAATAACCTCATGGATAGAAAAATAATAATGAAAATCAGAAAATATTTTTAAATATTTAAATTAATTGCAGCCCATTTTCACATGGAGGAGTGGACAGTACCACTCCTTTTTTAATAAGTAGACAGAGTATACTCTAAAATAATAATAGGTATAGTATACTAAATACATAAACCAGTAACACAGTCATTTATTATCATTATCAAGCTCGCTAATTTGTTAGGGAAAACTGTAGCTGGCTGGTTCACCAAAAGCCAATTCATACAATGACCAGATAGCCAAAGCCAAATGTGATGAAAATTAAACCACTGAATATCAATTGGCTGAAAAACCAATTTGAATTATTGAGAATTTTTTAAAAATTTGTTCCATCTTTGGAACAAATTTGCTGTGCCTTTGTCCCTGTCCAGAAGTGCTAAATAAACACTTTAAACCAAATTTAGGGCAGTTCTCCCGAATTATTTTGCAATGCAGATAAAGAGGCAGGGAGGGATGCAGAAACCGGGTCAGAGGTGCAACTAAAGGGGAGTCGGAGGGAGGTTTCTCAAAAACTGGGAGAATTGGTTATTCAGTGAATAGGATGTTTTGCTCATACTTGAATTGCTCTTAGCACCTGCTGACCCAGAGTCTATAAATAGAACCCAATCCTGGTCAGGTAGAGGGAGGTTGAATCAAAAAACACTGATAAAAATAAAGGTGTGTCTTTCTTGGGTAAAGACACTACTTTTTTTTTTTTTTAAGTTAAGGGATTTTAAAGTAGGGTATGGGGACGAGCTAGGAGAAGGAACAAGTTACTGGGAGGAAGTCGACCTCAGCAAGAAGGTGGGATACCAGTCTTAACATATAGGCAAGGGACTTACCACAAGTTAGCCTTTAGGGCCTTTAAGGATCCTGAGGTCAGATGCTGAATTTTAAGTTTTACTTTTCCATGTCACAATACACTTGTGATATCTTGAAATTCTCTTACAGACAGCCACGGACACACCAGTCCTGTGTCAGTGATTCCTTAGGTATTGTCAACTAAAGTTCGCTGCCACCATCTAATGTCAACAGGGCACCCCAATCTGGAACAAGGAAAGAGGAAAAACTTTATTCAGAGGAACATTTAGCAAACTGGGGTAACAGAGCTTCAGGTGGAAACTGAGGAGACAAAGGGGATGTCACCTTTTAAAAAGCAAGTTCCCATTCTAGTTCCCAACAGGTCCATTTTTATGCAAATCAGAAATCCAAATCTGCACAGTCTGATTGGTCCAAATAGCACTGTCCTGATTGGTTGGCTTCACTGTGTCCTGATTGGAGTCGCTCTGATGAGTCAGTATAGATGCAAATGAAAATATAGCTGCACAGTTCCCATTGGATGGGGTGGGTCTCAGCCCATTGGTTAAAGAGGGTTCCAGGAACTCCCTCATTAGGATGGGCTCAGAGGGCAGGAACACGATACAGTAGGTTGGCAGTTCAGTCTATGACTTCTCCCCAAATACTGTGCAGTGTCTGAGAGGCCTCTGACAGTAATGGCTGCTAGACTCTGGATATGAATTTGGGCCCAGTTAACTACAAGGAGTCCTTCTTGGCAACTGTACTCCTTCCTGAGATCCACAGTGTGAAGGAGGGGCTGTGCCCAGGTGAGGGGCTGGGCAGTGATTGAGAGTGGGCTCCTCTCGGCCTTTCCTTGGAGGTCAGGCTAAGCGATGTCAATTCAATATTGTACCCCGGAGTTCTGGGAGGTGACCAGCAGCAAGCCAGCAGAGATCCGTGGCAGACCAGAGCTGCTGCCGGCACTAACACTGGGAAGGCTGGGCGAGAAATTCCCTTTCCCCAAATATTCGGAGGAAGAGAACCTGTGGGGAAGGCGGCGCAGGGAAGAGGGCTCTCTGGGCAGCAGGCTTCTCCACTTCCCTGGACCCCACTTCCTCTGCCTCTGCAAGCTTCTGTCTTGCAGAGCAGGTGGAGCTCAGACCCACCTTCTCTGAGCTGCTCTAACAGGGGTCCTCCTCCAGACCCTGAATGAGGCTCCCTGTGCTCAGCCAGGGTCCGCTCCCCCGGAGTCCACCACTCTCCCCAGGCTTCCTGCCTGCAGGAGAATGGTGGGGGCCCACGCTTAGCTCACCCTTCACACACTTATTTGAGGGTCTACTATGTCCAGGGACTTCTGAGGTGACCGCAATCAACCCAACAGACCAGCAAATAGTCACCTAAGATACAATGACCCATGGGTCCATGCTGTGGTGAGCGAGGGGGCGGAGTGACACGTCTCAGGATGCACCAGGGTCTGGCAGCCACTCCCGCCCGCCCACCCACGACCGTGGCCCGCGCCGTTCTGCCTGCAGCGCTCTCTCCACCTCTGGGGGCCCGCTCCCCACTTTCGCCTCCCCTGGGGCCTCAGTCACGGTCGGTTTAAGAGACGCGCCCTCTGAGAGAGGCGGTGCCGTTTCATCCTCACCTGGCACAGAGGATGCGCTCAGTAAATGTCGAATACAAGAATGGATGGGTGGATGCGTACACGCGGGCAAGCACACCCTACCCTGGCCACCAGGCGGGTCCCGGCGCCCAGCCCCTCTCCGGCCGCTTCGCGCGGTCGCGAGTTGAGGCAGTGAGCACCCGGCGCCCACCAGGCTGCCGGGGTCTCGCCCCACCCGCCGGCCGGCGCCGCGGCGCCCTCTGGGAAGTGTAGTGTGCGCCTGCGCCCGGCGGGCCGCCGAGGCCGGGGGTCTCCGGGCGGAAGCGGGACCACCCGTCCTGGGAGGCGAGGCGCAGGGCGGGCCCGGGCGCGGTCATCCCCGCCCCTCTCCGGCAGCCCGCGCCTCCGGCCCCGCCTCCCTGCGCGCTGACCTCTGCCGTAGCGGTCCGCGAGGGTCGCGCCGCAGCCTGCAGGCGGGGCGGCGGGCGCCCCGGCCCGCGCCGGAAGCTGGGAGCCAGGGCTGAGTCCGGAATGGCGCGCCAGGTAAAGCGATCCGGGACGCCGCCGTGAGCCTGGGACGAGGAAGGGAAGCACGGCTGGGGCCGGCCTGCACGGTGGGGCGAGACGCAGTACTGGGAGGGGGGGGCGAGGGAAGAGCCCCGGACCCGCCAACTTCGAGATCGGGGGTGTACGGGACCGGGCTTGCCCGGTGCGCAAGATTTCGTGCGGAGAAGTCCAGTCCTCACGCCGACCCCTCCCCACTTCCTGCCACCAGGATACGCGTACAAGGAGCCTCTCTTCATCTTTGGAAACTCGGTCCTTTTGGTTAAGCATCGCCCTCCCTCGGCTTGGCTTCTTTTCATTAATGATAAGTTATCCTGGGAGCGGTGGGCATGAAGGCCTCAGGAGAGTTAATAAATCTGATACTTTTATTCTTGGTAGGATCCTGGACCCCCCCACCCCGGGGGTGGGAGGGAGACATGGAACTAGGTCCCTGCCCGCCCCTTCCAGGTTTTATCCTCTCGATAAGGTGTGTAGCTCTGAGAGCTGAAGGGAGAGCCCCATCGGTAGCCTGGGCACAGTTTGGGCGAGTTGTTTTCAGGGCTGTGAAGGTGCTAGGAAAACCCGATGATGCCACTAGGGAGTTGCCACATGTTCCTTCTGGGAGCCAGTTCTGTAATTGGGGTGGGTCGTGAGCTGGGGCCAACCTCAGGCAACAGTAGACTTCATGGTTAGGGGAGAGGGGGCTGGAATGGTAGCTGGGGCTGGCGCAGGCTGTGGCCAGGCAGAGCAGTCCCTGTGCCAGGACCTTGGTGTCATTAATGCCCCACAAACCCTTGGGAGGAAGGAGCACCCAGGTAAATGGGACGTTGTGGGAGCCCGGGCAGCCTCCCTTGCAGCTCTGGCTGTCCAGCTAAGCACACCCTCGTTCAGATTGCCTACTGGCCCCATGCTCGGGCCTCCTCATCCCACAGTTTCCTCATTTATAAAATGAGAGGTTGGACCACTGATCTTTCAGATAGGATGTTCTGGGGTGGGGGCAGGGCATGTAGCTTTGTGGAGAAGGTGGCCAGGAGTGGCCCTGGGAAGCAGTAGGGCACAGTCAGATGGAGAGGAACAGAGAGAGCCTCCTGTCTTCCTGTTCAGTGTGATCCCCAAAAGTCCAGGGGTGCATGAGCACAGCCCACAGGTCGGGGGAAGCAGGGTGCAAGGTATGATATGAGAGCCCAAACCTGAGGCATGCTGGGAGAATGGGTCTAGGCTGATAAGGCCCATGAAAGATGGACAGGTCCTGTGGGCATTGAAGCTGTGGTTTTCATGCTGGGCTAGTGGCACGCAATGCGTTTTAGGAGAACTGGCATGACAGCAGTGAGCCTAGGAGGCTGCTCTGTTACAGCAATTCTGCATGAGCCCAGAAAGATTTTCTGCTGTTGTTTGAGGGAGAGTGGCCTGAGAGCTACAAAGTGGGTGAAATAGGGCCCGGGAAGGACAGTGGGCCCAGATTTCAAGCCAGCGGTGGGCTTCCCTCGCCTGAAGGTGAGTGTAGGTGGCCTGTAAGTTTTTACACTCGTGGTTGCTCGCTGCCTCACACACACACACTCCTCACCCTTCCTGTGCTTTTTTTTTGGGCAGAGGGAGGCTACTGACAGAACCACCTACCCTGGCCACAGTCGGTTTTCTTTCCTGTTGTGTAAGACCTTTGTCATAGAAGAGTTTGTCTAGAGGCTGAGATGGTGAAAGGCCTGGGAACCATGTCTTCCAGGTGTCTAGAAGAGTTGGGTATATTTAGCCAGGAGATAAAGCGTTATTAGGGTCAGGAAGAGTGTGTAGGGCAGAGCAGATGGCAGGCTGTGACCTGCAGGTGGACGTTAGGCAGACAGGTTTGGCTGCAGTAATACGAACCGTAGCACTGACTACGTCCCAGCATTTGTTCCAGGCGCTTTTCCTATATTAATTTATTTAGTCTTCACAGCATCCCTATGACGTAGGTTTTTCTGATCCTACTTTTATAGATGAGTTTGGGGAGGTCCCATAGCTAGTATGAAGCAAAGCAGGGATTGGAATTCTGAGGTCAAGTCCTCACCCCTGTGCCGTACTCCTGTCTGTGTGGCCAGAACTTCTTAACTGCCGATCAGGCCAGCGATAGGACCAGCTTCTGGGAATGTAGTAGGCACCCACCCATTACTGAAGGCACTGAAGTAGAAATTGAAGAGCCACCCTGTTTGGGGTGGAAGTCAGCATGAGATGTTCACTGCTCCTTAAAGGTCCACAGCACTTGTGTGTGGTTTCTAGCTCACAAACCTGCTGTACTGGACAGCTGGCCCTGGGGAGAGGTGAGGGGCTGGGCCTGTTTCAAGGGCCTATTCATCAGCATTTTTTTTCATTTTCAGGAAGACCGGGCAGGTTCTGCCCAGTCTCCAGCCTATGACTAGACCACAGTGTCAGAATCAAGGGAAGTTTGAAAATTGTCGATTTCTGGGCCCTGAAAACTCTGAAAACTTAACCATGATTTAGTAGATCTAGGATGAGGTGGGAAATCAGTCC